AACTCAAAAGCATCAATTCTTCTACGATCTTCCTTACTCACTGTCCAGTCTTTTTCCTGTGCAGAACAACTAGTGGATTCAGACTTCCAACCTTTGAACTAGTAGCCAAGTGCTTAACCTCCATAACACTAGGATGCCTGTGATTTGTAACTGTTAAGTGTCAATATATACTTAGAGTTTATTCTGCATTTTTCATAAAAACAATCATGCTTTTATCGAATGATTATCATTTTTGTATATACCCTAAATAATCATAAATTTTGTGAATTTCCCTAAATTTTATATGTGATATCAAGTTCTGAGGGAAAAAATTCTTGTACATTTAAATTAAATTTATTAAATATGAATTTGAATGCATTTATTAATTATACAAATAGCTTTTACTATTCATGTAATTATATGAATCTAGTTGAATTTAAAAATTTTAAGAATGAATTATTCTCAAAGGATAGCTACAACCATCACTTATGAAGAAACGGACCATTAATGTTTTCTGCATCAGTCTGAATTATCTGTTCTCTTTTCTGACAGACAATGGTTCTGAAGACTTGGAGATACTTCCTAATGGGCTGACATTCATTAGCTCTGTGAGTGTTTTCTTTCATTTGTTGTGCTCTGGAACATTGCATAGGACTGACAGCTTTCTGTTGAGTTGATTTTGAAGTCGGGCAATCACATGTGCTCAGAGTAGAACTATTCCATGGAGTGTTCTTGACTGAAATCTTTACAGAAGCAAATCACCAAGCCTTTCTTCTGCAACATTCCTGGGTGGGTTTGAATCACCAACTTTAAGGTTAGTAGTCAAGTGTTAGTCATTTGCATCACCCAGGGACCTTTAGTACAGATATCTAAGTTCAAACAAAATGAGTCACATGGCTCAAAAACAAACTGTATATGTATTTTCAACTAGTATAATAATTATGATTCTGTCTTCTATGTATAATTTGTATTCCCGTGTGTGCACTGAACTTTTTTATTACTGTACTTTCATATATATGTGTGTGTGTGTGTGTGTGTGTGTGTGTGTGTAATATATAAAAGGTCTACATATATGTACACATATATGTATGTATGTATATATACTTTTCCAGATAAATCCTTTAAGATTATTGATAGGCAAGTCCCTTCAGGACAAACTGCCTCCCAGACAGAACATAAAGGGAATACACGAACAGGCATGTAAGCTTGCTGGTGACCACGTTGGTCTACTGGTGAGTGGAAGTGGGGGAAAAGCAGTAATGAAGATGTGGGCTGAGTCTGACCATGTTACATAGACTCCAATTGACCTGGAGAATGATGAGAGCTGGTTGGCCCAAAGTATGGTGAGACCTGGGGACTCCTGAGCCCATGGACAAGGACTTAGCCATAGAGGGCTAGAGCTGAGAGTGAAGTGTCCAGCTGATATGAAGTGAGAGTAGATGCACAAGGGCACCCAAACTTGCAGATAGTGCCCATTGGACCTAGCTTCAATGGATGGATGATCAGAACTTGACTTGTTGATGTTATGTGCC